AGGTTCCGGGATGAACTGGAAGATCCAAACCCTGGACGAACTCTTAGAACGTATTCGAGAACAGAACTCCCAGTTCCCATGAAACAGTTTCTTGGACCCAGGCTAGGCACTTATTCCCCTTTTTTAGGGTTTAGGTTCCCTTCTACGCCCCTGTCAACCAAAAAGGGCACCCTCATTTGTTCCCAGGTTACTCTTGGGTCTGAGTCTTCCTGAGGGGAGTCTGTACATGGGGACTGTTCCACATCAGTAGGAACTAAGGTGCACTTCTTGGGAACCCTTTTTCACAAAGACGCCCGATTACTAAAGGCATCCTTTAGGGGAAGCGAACTTAAGAACAACGACCTCGCGTTTCATGAGTTAGGTTTGGAGGCTTGGCGTTAGCGCCTGGATACTGCGTTCAGGGGTTTGCAAATGGGAATTGTTGCATGCTTGGATTTTCTTTTTTTGAGACCCAAAGCCCGACCCCTGGATAAGCCCTAACCCCTAAACCCTAGCCGTGAACCCCAAACCCTACACACTAAACACTAAACCCTGAACCTGGGCATCCGCCCCAAAATGCATTCGCACCGCGCGCCTGGGCGAGCATTGCCCTAAGCTGCCGCAGAGCCGCCGGCCTGCCGCAGATGCAGCGAAGCATTGGCCACTTGCTAGCCCAGTGGTACCCTTTTTGCCCTTGCTTTTTTTTTTTTTTTTTTTTTGGGGGGGGGGGGGGGGGCGGTTGGTTCTGGGTTCCCGTAGTAAGGTAACCACGCCTAAGCCCTTAACCCTAAACCCCAACCCTGTACCCTAAACCCTAAGCCCTGATTGCAAAATGGTTGCTGGGCGACCAAGGCAAGGAGGTGATCTTCGGACTGATCAGGCTTGGCAATTCGCAATGATTGCGATGTCCTCTTCAACATCGGTTTTAGGCTTTAGCGTTTAGGGCTGCAACGGACACAGAAAAGAGGGTTTCGGGCTGATACCCGGGCACCCATTATGTACCCCAGAATGCTATACCTGGGACCCGATTTACCTACAGTTTAGTCCCTATGTAGTAGGTAGAACCCTTGCAACTGTATGTCAACAGGGCGCCAGGTAGGCCTCGTTGCAGTATCGGAATCCCAAAAAGGGGTACCCCTATGTTTGGCAACCCCAGCGGGCATGATGTAGTGTAGCTGTGATTAGCCGGCTGTGTGGAGCCCTCCTCTCAACCCAAAGCCCTCAACCCCAACCTCTCAACCCCAAGCCCTAAACTCCTAAACCCTGAAAGAGAAGCCCATCCCCCTTCGACGTTGTAGCCTTCACCTTCAACCTGGGCGCTTACCGGGAAAGCCTCACGTCACTCCTAGAACCTTTAGGCTTTGGGGTCTAGGGTGTAGGGTTTAGGGTTTAGGGTTTAGGGTTTAGGGTTTAGGGTTTAGGGTTTAGGGTTTAGGGTCTAGGGTGTAGGGTTTAGGATAGTCAAGCCACAAGCACAAGGTATTTCGGGTTACAAGTGCAGTCGAATGGGTTGTAGCGGTCTAGGGGTGAGCCCCCCTAAACCCCTAAACCCCAAACCCCAAACCCCAAACCCCAAACCCCAAACCCCAAACCCTAAACCCCAAACCCTAAACGATCAGGCTCGGCGATATTGCTGGCTTGAAGAAGTTTACGCCGGCCAACTTCGATTGGACGCAGACCGACGATGAAACGCCATACTGCACGCCTTTACAGGAGTCAAGGGACAAAAGGAGGGACCCTTATAAGGGACCTCAGGGTCTATTTAGGGGCTACTTAGCTAAAAAAGGTGTAAAAAGAGGTTGCGTCGGGGAATCAGATGGATTCAGGGTCCGGTCTCGGGGTTCCTCCTTATACCCCTCTTAAGGCCCCTGAACCCTAAACCCTGTTAGTATAAATTTTCCCTCCTTATACCCGAAGGATGCCATCGTGACTGGCCTGATCTGCCAGACGAAGCGCGAGACATGCACGGCGATGGTGGAGTGGATGCTGCAGCAAGGTGGGCCGGGTTTCCCCAAACCCCAAACCCCAAACCCCAAACCCCAAACCCCAAACCCTAAACCCGAAACCCGAAACCCCAAACCCCAAACCCCAAGCCCGAAACCCTAAACCCTAAACCCCAAACCCGAACCCTAAACCCCAAACCCCAAACCCTAAACATCAAAACCCTGAACCCCAAGCCCCAAATCCCAAATCCCAAACCCCAAACCCCAAACCCCGAACCCCAAACCCTAAAACCCTAAACCCCAAACCCTAAACCCCAAACCCGAACTCTAAACCCCAAACCCCAAACCCTAAACATCAAAACCCTGAACCCCAAACCCTAAACCCCAAACCCCAAACCCCAAACCCCAAACCCTAAACCCCAAACCCCGAACCCCAAACCCCAAACCCTAAACCTTAAACCCTAAACCCTAAACCCTAAACCCTAAACCCTAAACCTTAAACCCTAAACCCTAAACCCTAAACCCCAGGTGCAGACCCGCAGCTGAAGTTCTCATCCTCCAACACCACGACCATAAGTCTCTGGAAGCGGTCGGACATGGAAGGGACCAAGGTGGGGGTTTAGGTTTAGGGTTTAGGGTTTAGGGTTTAGGGTTTAGGGTTTAGGGTTTAGGTTTCGGGTTTAGGGCGTAGGGTTTAGGGTTCAGGGTTTAGGGTTTGGGGTTTAGGGTTAGGGTTGGCGGTTTAAGGTTTAGGGTTTAGGGTTCCGGCAGCTCCCACTGTAGTTCCTTCGTGGGCAAGTTCTAGGGTTTCATAGTATACTATCCTACTGTACAAGGTGATTACGTAGGAGCCTCCGGGTAGGGTTCAGAGGGTTTCGCTGGACTTAACGTCTTTTTTGTTTTCTCCATGCTGTTATGCTGGAACTCTTAGTTTGAGAGTTTGTTGGAGCATTTTGGGTGTGTTGGCCTGTTTTGGGAGGAATACGTGTAGGTTTGGGGGGTCTTTGATACCGATTTTGTTGGGGTACATGTCCCAGACCCCATAAGTCCTAAACCGTACAGCGCAACACCCACAAAACCAAAAAGCCCTACAATCAGGCTAGGACCCGAAGTAGGCCCTTAGTTCCTTTTTTTAAGGGTTTAGGGTTTAGGGTTTTTTGGGTTTAGGGGTTCCCTTATCATCCCCTTAACACCAAAAAGGGTGCCCGGTTTCTTCCTAGGTTACTCCTGGGTCTAGCAGGTTACCGTCGCCTATGCTGGGCACTCTGCCATCTCCTTCGTCCTCGCCTGGCTGAAGCTGGGGCTGCTGTTAAGGAAATGGCTAAACCCTAAACCCAAAACCCTAAACCCTAAACCCTAAACCCTAAATGGTTTCCGATGGGTTCAGGGTTTAGGGTTCAGGAAATTGGGGTCTCCGAAGCAGGGGTACCTTATTGGGGTCTTTCTTATAAGTGAAGCCTACCATTTGGGGGTCTATACTAGGGGTCCCCGATTATCGTAAACCCTGAATTGGTCTCTATGTCAAGCTACCGTAGAAATGCTAAACCATAAGCCTTCAAACCCTAAACCCTCGTTGCATTCGTCTGGCAGCAAAATTAAGCTCCTCAGCAGTCAGCACTGACCCCTCAAAATACGCCAGCCCTTACTACAGGAGTTCCCTCAAAAGGACATCTGAACCCTAAACGCTAAACCCCAAACCCTTATCCCTAAACCCTAAACCCTAAACCCCAAACCCCAAACCCTAAACCCTAAACCCTAAACAGCAACCCAGGAAGGCTTTGCAGGACAGCAGCTTAGACTGGTCCAGTGCCCAGCGGTACCTGGAAGAGGTGCGAGGGGCTTGAAAGGGCCGTTGCATCCTACATGGGGGTTTCCGAAAACAGGGGCACCCTTTTCGGGGGTATGAAAGGGAGTATTCCTACTTTTTGGAAATTCGGGTTGAGGGTTTACGGTTCAGGGTTTAGGTTTTAAGGTTTAGGGCCATCTAGGGCAACTAGGCATGCCTGTTGCATTCTGCTGTCGCCATGCTCTTGCGCAAGAGTAAGAAAAGGCGTCGAGTTCTTGGTGGGGGTTGGCGGGGTTCCACAGTGTCAGCCTTTCTCTGGGCGTCCCTTCATGCTCACGTCAGTTTTGTGTCGTTTTCATGGTCCGTCACATCCTGCATGCATGTGTGTGTGTGTGTGTGTCTGTCTGTCTGTCTGTCTGTCTGTCTGTCTGTCTGTCTGTCTGTCTGTCTGTCTGTCTGTCTGTCTGTCTGTCTGTCTGTCTGTCTGTCTGTCTGTCTGTCTGTCTGTCTGTCTGTCTGTCTGTATGTCTGTCTGTCTGTCTGTCTGTCTGTCTGTCTGTCTGTCTGTCTGTCTGTCTGTCTGCGGGCGTGCGGGGTGCGCGTGCGGGCGTGCGGGCGTGCGGGCGTGCGGGCGTGCGGGCGTGCGGGCGTGCGGGTGTGCGTGGCGTGTGCGTTGTGCGTGTGTGTGTGTGTGTGTGTGTGTGTGTGTGTGTGTGTGTGTGTGTGTGTGTGTGTGTGTGTGTGTGTGTGTGTGTGTGTGTGTGTGTGTGTTTGCGAGATGCGATCACCGTTGAAAGAGCTCCAAAGTGCCCCAAACCCTAAATCCTAACTTAGGGTTTACGCCCTAAACCCTACTGTAAACCCTAAACCTTAAACCCTAAACCCTAAACCCTACACCCTAGACCCTAAACCCTAAACCCTGAACCCTGAACCCTGAACCCCAAACCCTACACCCTAAACTAAACCCTAAACCCTAAACCCTGCACTCTGAGTGTCATCTGTCCCCAGGTCATGTCGCTGTTCGCACAGACCACGGCGCAGCAGAGCGTGCCCGTGCAGCCCAGCTTTCTGGACCAGTGGGAAGCTGTCCTGGAGATGACTCCTGGCAGTAGAGTAGGCATCCTTTACCCTTTTTGGGGCTTCGGGTTTAGGGTTTAGGGTTTAGGGTTTAGGGTTTAGGGTTTAGGGTTTAGGGTTTAGGGTTTAGGGGTACTGGACAACTAAGGACTGACACGCACAACGTGACCTTCGAGACGGCCGATGGCGAGGTGACGGCTCATGACCACATCTTGATGGCCACGTCTCCTGTTCTGAAGGCCATGTTGCAACTAGGTCCCCCAGTAGTACCCTTATTCCCTTTTTGTTTTTGGGAGGGTTCCTTCCTAAAACTGAATGTTCCACCCTTTTCTCACTTTCAATACAGTCAACTTTGTTGTTGCTCTTTTGGCTTTGAATCAATTTTTTTTCTGTATGAAAAAGGGTACCCTTATTATTAAGGAGCTACTTTGGGAACCGAGGCAATCGACCATGAAGGAAGGCGCCAACAAGCGCGTTCAGATCAAAGACTCCTCGAGCGCCGGGGTGTCGCTTTTCTTGGACATGCTCCTTGGTTTAGGGTTTGGGGTTTAGGGTTTAGGGTTCAGGCTTTAGGGTTTAGGGTTTAGGGGTACAAGTAGCTCAGTGGTACCCTTTTGCCCTTTTTGGGGGTCCCTTATACAAGTAACTAACACCGAAAAGGCCTCCCTTTGTGTAATATGGTGAGTCCTAAACCCAAAACCCCAAATCCTAACGCCCTAAACCCTAAACCCTAACACCCCAAACCCTGCGCCCTACATAAGCCCTAAACCCTAAACCCTACCAAGGCTCTACACAACGGCAACGCGAACAGACCCATGGCTCTGAGAGGCATCGTCTCTGTTACCACTATATTTTTTGGAAGCCCTAACCCCTGATTACTCAAACCCTTGCAACCCTCAGCCGCAAGCCCTAAACCCTAAACCCTAAACCCTAAACCCTAAACCCTAAACCCTAAACCCTAAACCCTAAACCCTAAACCCTAAACCCTAAACCCTAAACCCTTAGTCAAACTTCGGTTTGGGCCTCATCTTGGGTAGGGGAGAGGGAGAGTTGCGGTTGACTAGGTCGGAGCGGGGGAGTATGATGCTAAAAAAACACCTGAGTCCCCAAAAAGCCCTAATGAACCCTAGACCTAAGAGGGCGTAGAGTTTGGGGTTGAGTTTGAGGGTTGAGGGGTGAGGGTTTAGGGTTGAGGGTTGAGGGTTTAGGGTTTAGGGTTTAGGGTTTAGGGTTTAGGGTTTAGGGTGAGGAGGACCTCTGAGAGCCGAGGATCCAGACTACAAGACCATGCTGGTTGCCCTGGATCTGGCCCATCGCTGGCAGGTGCAGAACGTCATGCCGATTCTTGGAGGGTTTAGGGTTTAGGGTTTAGGGTTTAGGGTTTAGGGTTTAGGGTTTAGGGCTTATGGGGTTTAGGGTTTAGGGTTCCGGGTTTAGGGTTTAGGGTTTATTGAAATTATTAAAGGGTTCAGGTCCGGGGAAGTTTGGAGGAGTTTCGAGGAGTTTCGTTTTTTTGCTTTTCTTAATAATTTCAAGTTGCAGGGGGCTTGAGGGTTTAGGGTTTAGGGCTTAGGGCTTAGGGCTTATAGGGCTTAGGGTTGAGAGGGTTAAGGGTGTTGGGATTTAGGATGATGTACCTGCAAAAAGTTTAGGGCATTCAGGGCGTTTTAGGGTTTCTGGCTTCTTGGGCTTAAAACCCGAAACCCCAAACCCTAAACCCGAAACCCTAGAGTGTAGGGTTGGCGGGCCCTTTTGCAAAGCCCCAAAAGCCCCAAACCATGGAATGTAGGATTGGGAGAGAAGAGCTCCTCGCCCAAAATAGGGTTTAGGGTTTAGGGTTTAGGGTTTAGGGTTTAGGGTTTAGGGCCATAGTCCCCTGCTTTGGATTCTCCCAAAAATAGGGGTATAGGGTTTAGGGTAGTGGTTTGGGGTTTAGGGTTTAGGGTTGGCCCTCCATGATAGGGTTTCAAGGACCCTATAGAGTATGTTTTTTTTTTTAGGGTTTAGGTTCGCTTATCAGCCTCTTGAGACCGAACAGGCTACGGGCATCCGTTTTATTCTTTTTTCCCCAAGTTACTCTTGGTCTAGGTTTAGGGTTCACATCACATCCTAAGGATTGGAGTACTTTGCGGTTGCATTAGGGTCATCCCCCCCCATTTCTTTATTCCTTGGGGCCAAACCCCCCGCTTTCGAGCCAGAGGATTCTTGAGAGCGGGCTCTTCGCCATGCTAACCGTCGACAGCTTCGTGTCGATCGCGGAGGCGGCGGCCCTGAAAGGCCCGGTTTGGATTAGGCTTTGTAAGTACCAGTTAGAACAACTTTGACTTCCCTTTGCTGAATACTCTTGCGATGACCATGTTTGTCATTGATGAGGGCCCATGACTGGTTTAAGGCTTTCACAACTTGTAGATCTTAGGATTCTTGGCTCGAACTTAATTTAGTACCCTTTCGGACTGTGAGGAATCCTCTTGGGGTTTGCGGAAAACCAGGCGACAAGCCTGCGGAAAGCACGAAAGGATGCTGTGGGTTCAAGGCGCAGTTTTAGGACTTAGGATTTAGGGTTTAGGGTTTAGGGTTTAGGGTTTCCTAAATCCTGGGGACCCAGCGTGGGCCATCATTCTCGTGTTATTGGGCCAGGTGCCACCTAAAACCCGAATCAGCGCAGAAAAAAATATGTGTGTATATATATATATATATATACATACATACATATTATACATATATAGATACACACACACACACACACGCACTTTTTGTTGTCTAGACTACTCTGCGACCCCTAAAACCCTAAGCCCAAACCCGGAGCCCACACTGTAAGCCCCAAACCCCTGAACCCGAACTGCCTTGTGTTTGTTGCTCTTACACTAACAGTCCTTAATAGGGATCATAACACCCCAATTACAATCCCAAGTAAGGACAGTTAGTATAAGGGGAAACATTACAACCTAAAACCCTAAAACCCTAGCTCTAAACCCTCAACTCTAAACCCTAAACCCCTAGCCCTAAACCCTAAACCCTAAACCCTAAACCCTAAAACTCCTAAAGCCCCTAAAAGCCCCTAAAAGCCCATCTCAACCTCGCCTCAGGGATGGAGAAGCTGCAGCGGACCTGCGCGGCCTTCGGGGCGAAGAACACACAAATCCAGGACATGCTGCGCCCCGGCGAGATCTGAGGATTGGGGGTTTAGGGTTTAGGGTTTAGGGTTTTAGGCTTTAGGGTTTAGGGTTTTAGGGGTTTAGGGTTTAGGGTTGAGGGTTTTAGGGGTTTAGGGTTTATTGTTTAGGGTTTTAGGGGTTTAGGGTTTAGGGTTTTAGGGTTTTAGGGTTTAGGGTTTTAGGGTTTTAGGGTTTTAGGGTTTAGGCTTTAGGGTTTAAGGGTTTTAGGGTTTTAGGGTTTTAGGGTTTTAGGGTTTTAGGGTTTTAGGGTTTTAGGGTTTTAGGGTTTTAGGGTTTTAGGGTTTTAGGGTTTTAGGGTTTGAGGGTTTTAGGTTTTTAGGATTTATGTTTAGGGGTGAGGGTTTAGGGTTTAGGGTTTAGGGTTTGGGGTTTAGGGTTTAGGGTTTAGGGCTTGTGCTGCACTTTGGCGAGATCAGGGGTCTAGTGGGCATAGGGTTGAGGGTAAGGGTTTAGGGTTTCGGGTTTAGGGCTTAGTTCGGGTTGGGGCCTTGGGGTTTGGGGCTTAGGGTTTATAGGGCTTGTGCCATTCTGGCACCCTGCGGCCCGAAATTCCAAGATCACCGGAAGGAATTATTGTGGGAACTGTAGAGTAGGTGTAGAGTAAGCATCAAGGGTGCCTGGTACCTACACGCCGACTACATGCCTTGGTTTGTCGTGTTTCTTCTGCCCTGAACCCTAAACCCTAAACCCGATAAGCCCATAAGCCCATAAGCCGATAAGCCCGAAGCCCTAAACCCTAAACCCTAAACCCTAAACCCTAAACCCTAAACCCTAAACCCTAAACCCTAAACCCTAAACCCTGAACCTTAAACTCTAAACTCTAAACCCTAAATCCTAAACCCTAAACCCAACCCCCGAATTCAACAAGGAAGAAGGGCTCGCTGCCCGCCGTGGTCTGCCAGCTCCTCGGCCAGCGCGCGGAAATGAGCCCGGAGCAGCACGCACGGAAGAGGCGGAAGTTCTTTCAGTAGCCCTAAACCCTAAACCCTAAATCCTAGACCCTAAACCCTAAATCCCAAACCCTAAACCCTAAACCCTAAACCCTAAACCCCTAAACCCCGTAAACCCCTAAACCCCCTAAACCCCTAAAACCCTAAACCCCCAAACCCCTAAACCTCTACACCCCTACACCCCTAAACCCCTAAACCCCTAAACCCCTAAAACCCTAAACCCCCAAACCCCTAAACCCCTAAACCCCTAAACTCCTAAACCCCTAAACCCCTAAACCCCTAAACCCTAAACTCCAAACCCCCAAAGGGCAAGAAGCTGTATTGTATGGTTCTAGGGTTTTACGGTTCAGGGTCAGGTTCCCTAAGCCGTCAACCCTAAACCCACAAACCCTAACCCGCCCTAATAGGGTTTCAAAAGTACTTCGCAGACTTCGCGGTGCGCGCGCGTGTGTGAAAAAATGCGCCGTGCCTGGACCTTGGGACCAAAATAAGCCCTAAAATTGGGGTTTAGGAGTTTGGGGGCTTCAGGATTTCTGCGTCTTAAGGACTTTGGGGCTTGTAGGGCTCAGGGGGATCCCACTACCCTGCCCTTTTCTAAGAACCTGTAAACCAAACATGGGCACCCTTTCATTATTTCTATGTTACCCTAAACCCTACACCCTAAACCCTAAACCCTAAACTCTAAACCCTAAACCCTAAACTCGGGCCTAAACTCTAGGGTTTACTCTTGGGAACACGGGGCGCAGGCTTTTCTCCCAGCTTCCGGGGTGTTTTGGAGTTGTCTTAGGCAGCTACTGGTGAGTAGGTTCTTTTCTTCAGAAGCGGCTACCTGTAGGTTGGTTTAGGGTTTAGGGGTTTAGGGGTTTAGGGGTTTAGGGGTTTAGGGTTTAGGGTTTAGGGTTTAGGGTTTAGGGTTTAGGGTTTAGGGGTTAGGGTTTAGGGTTTAGGGTTTAGGGTGTGTGCGCCCAGATGGTGATTTTGCTGGACCTGGGGCAGAACATCGTTCTCAACTTCATCGTGGCGCCGCCGGTCTTCACTTGCTGGCTTTAACTTGCAAAGAGGTGCCCTAATCCCTACACCCTAAACCCTAAACCTCAAACCCTAAACCCTAAACCCTCAAAGAATTGGGGCCCCCAGGTTTTGCCTTGAGCTAGTCCTTTTTCAGCCCTTTGAAGGACAGTTTTGGGGTTTAATTAGGGTTGAAGGTTTACTTACTATGTGCTTAAGAACCACCCAAAAACAATAAAATCCTAATCCCTAATTATACTGCGCATATAAGGAGTGATATATATGTATATTTTTTTTGGAGGGGGGGAATCTTAAGCAAATAGTAGTTTAAGGTATTTGGTTTTCAGGGTTTTTAGGGCTTTCAGGGTCTCTTGCCTTGCATTCAGGATGCCCACTACTCCCTTTTGCAAGTTTGCTCGGGGTGAAGTTCGTCTTTTTCTCGATAGACGCAGTAGCCGTTACCCCAAACCCTAAACCCTAACCCCCAGACCCAGGACCCCAAACCCTAAACCCTAAACCCTAAACCCTAAACCCTAAACCCTAAACCCTAAACCCTAAACCCTAAACCCTAAACCCTAACCCCTAACCCCTAAACCCTAAACCCTAAACCCTATAAATTGTTTCTGTCTCACGTTATGAGTGGTAGCGACCGAATGCACTCTGTGTTGTGTAGAGAGCGGGTTTTGGGAGTAGGGGGCTCTCGTGAGCCCTAAACCCTATAACTCCGAATCTGAACGGTTTAGGGTTTAGGGTTTAGGGTCTAGGGTTTAGGGTTTAGGGTTTGGGTTTGGGTTACATGAAAGAACATGATTTAGGGGTCTGCTCACAAGCATGCGAGCCGGTAGTGTAACCAATGCCCAAAGCGACCAAATGCAATGCCCACTCGAGTGCTTAGGTTTTAGGACACCTAAAACCTAAACCCCTAAACCCCTAAACCCTTGAACCCCTAAACCCCTAAACCCCTAAACCCCTAAACCCCTAAACCCCTAAACCCCTAAACCCCTAAACCCCTAAACCCCTAAACCCCTAAACCCTAAACCCCTAAACCCCTAAACCCCTAAACCCCTAAACCCCTAAACCCCTGAACCCCTGAACCCCTGAACCCCTGAACCCCTGAACCCCTGAACCCCTGAACCCCAAACCCCTAAACCCCTAAACCCCTGAACCCCTAAACCCCTAAACCCCCCTAAACCCTAAACTCTAAACCCCTCAACCGGAAGCCCAATTGCTTGGTGCGTCCTGAGGACCCTGGCTGCCATGTCCGCAGTGCAGGCGAGCCACAGCCTACACACCAGCATGACTCCCGGCGAAGCATTGGCGTTGATGGGTTTAGGGTTTAGCGTTTAGGGTTTAGGGCTTTAGGTTTTTGGGTTTGGGGTTTGGAGTTTGCGGTTTCGGCTTAGTTGTGCTCCATAAGTTTTCTGTAGTCGGTTGTTCTTAGCTGGGCATATACATAATCTTGAGGGTTGCGCACTTGCGAGAGTAACGCCTTGGGCAGTCAAGGGCTCAGCTGTAGGGTTTGGGGTTTGGGGCTTGGGGCTTGGGGCTTGGGGTTTAGGGTTTAGGGTTTAGGGTTTGGGGTTTAGGGTTTAGGATTCTCTGAAGTACGGTCGCCTGTTGGCTTTGTGGTATTTCACCGTAACTCTAGATCCTTACCCTTTTTGGGTTTATCGGGTTTCTGGCCCTGTGACGTTTTCGCGTCGTCTCGTGTTCGCATAAGAGCCCCTGAACTCGGGCTCATTGGCGGCAGCTCTGCTGCGAGCGCCTTAGACATCGTCTCGCCCAGCCCAGGCCTGTGCGTTCGCTTGCCCCGCACCTGATCAGTGAGAAGACCGTTGGCGGTTTTGTGGGGGGAGCTGAGGAGATGCCACAGTGTGCGTGCCAGTGCCGGCTTCTGGCGCGCTCTGCTTCTTTCTCAGAGCATGCTCACGGCACGCACGACGGAAGGGGGATTCGAGAAGAAGTTCTCCGCGAGCAGTTGGAGAGTGGGTTTTGGGGTGGAATATAGCGTCGGAATATTGACACATAGTATTCCCTTATGGTCCCTCTATATTAGACTATAGTAACCCTCAAAACCCTATTCTAATTATTCAGGCCCCTATATTAGGATGGCGATTGATGCGTATGACGCTCGCTGGCTGATGGGTGCGGTTCCCTTATGAGCCACCTCTTAACTCAAGCAGGGTAACTCAAGGGGCTAACCCTTCTAAGGGACCTTCGGGGTTATTTAGGGGCCACTTAGGCAAATAGGGGCTGGAGAAGGTATATATTAGGGCTATATAGGGAACAACCCTTCGTTAACCCTCAACCGGGCCGGGGAATGAGTGTCCCCAGAAAAAAGGCAGGAACGGTGAATAAGGGATCTGTTTTTGATCTCCCCTATACGAACTTTACCCCAAAACCCTATAACCCTGCCCTCCACACAGCTCAGGATCCGCATCAGCACACAGTGGATGACAGCGCCTTCGCCGGCAATCGTTGTTAAGAGCCCCTCTTGACTCGAAGCCCTCGGCCCCTCAGCCCAAACCCCTAAACCCCTAAACCCCTAAACCCCTAAACCCCTAAACCCCTAAACCCCTAAACCCCTAAACCCCTAAACCCCTAAACCCCTAAACCCCTCCCTAAACCCCTCCCTAAACCCCTAAACCCCTAAACCCCTAAACCCCTAAACCCCTAAACCCCTAAACACCTAAATGAGCCCCAAGCCCCTAAGCCCCTAAGCCCCCAAGCCCCCAAGCCCCAAAGCCCCTAAGCCCCTAAGCCCCTACCCCCTGAGACCCGGGTGCGCGCGGTTCATGGGACGTACGAACTAGTAGCTGGGGGGCTGGAAGCATGTTGCTTTGAGGGCTGATCAACAAAAATGACCATTCCATCTGTGCTGAAGTCAAGCCCTAAACCTGGCTTGAATCCTCTAAACCCTCAACCCTCAACCCTAAACCCTAAACCCTAAACCCTAAACCCTAAACCCACTCTAAACACTAAACCCTAAACCCTCAACCCTCAACCCTAAACCCTGAACCCACCCTAAACCCTAGACCCTAAACCCTAAACCCTCAACCCGAAACCTTCCCCGCCGGTCCCCTACGCCCTTCTGAGGCCTGCTCTGCCTCTTGTGCAGCATTCCGAGGGCTTTGGTGGTTCAGAGTCCGGGAGTTTAGGGTTTAGGGTTTAGGGTTTCGGGTTTAGGGATTTGGGTTTCAGGGTTTGGGGTTTCGGGTTTCAGGGTTCAGGGTTCAGGGTTTAGGGTTTAGGGTTCAGGGTTTCGGGTTTCGGGTTTCAGGGTTTCAGGGTTTGGGGTTTCGGGTTTCAGGGTTCAGGGTTTAGGGTTTCGGGTTTCAGGGTTTAGGGTTTAGGGTTTCTATTTGGTTGGAGGTTTTTGTGTCTAGGGTTTGGGGTTTGGGGTATACTTACGATTGTTGCCCGATAAGGTTCGGGTTGAGGGTAGGGCTGTTGGAGTCTAGGGTACTTGGAGGTTCGTGTATGAACCCACAAGTGTACTCAGCCCAATTCATGCCCACATCAGGGTACTTAAGGGGCTTATAAGCGGGTTGGAACTACAGTACAACTGTTTACAAGTACCCTTAAACCCCAAACCCTAAACCCCAAACCCTAAACCCTAATCCCTAAAACCCTAACCCTAAACCCTAAACCCTAAACCCTAAACCCTAAACCCTAAACCCTAAACCCTAAACCCTAAACCCTAAACCCTAAACCCTAAACCCTAAACCCCAAACCCTAAACCCCAAACCCTAAACCCTACCATGATATCAGCGAGGGTTTCAGCGCAAGACATCCCGGAAGAGGCTTTCAGGACCTAGGGTGGCCCTCTCAGCCCAACCCCTTGGGGACTAAATGAACCCTGCTTAGGGTTAGGGTAGGGTTTAGGGCTAAGCTTAGGTTTTAGGGTTTAGGTTTGTAGGGTTAGTAGGGTTCAGGGTTTTGGGGCTGTAGGGTTTCAGGGCTTCAGGGTTTCGGGGAGGGGTTTAGGGCTTCAGTGCCCTAATATGGTTGTAAGTACAGTCATCAGTACAGCTACATTTTGTAATCAGTACCATGAACCTCCAATTCAACCCTGCTTGGAGGTTCATGTGTAGCTAGAAGTGGGGTTATAAGTACCCTAAATGGGAGTTTACGAAAGTAAGGGACCCCTAATATAGACCCACTACTAGTAGGATAAGGACCCCAACAAGGTACCGTTTAACTTTGGAAAAGTTAAAATAGGTTTATAAGTATAGCTACAATGCTTGTAACCCTACTTATAACTACCCATGAACCTGCAAATATAATTCCTAAACTCGAAGCCCTTTGGGATCTATATCGGGCAAACATGTCCCTCAGCAATGGGTCTTCTATTTCGCGCCCGAAAACCTGAACCCCCTAAGCCCCCTGAAGCCGCGGAGACCCAAAGGTTTAGGGTTTAGGGCTTAGGGTGTAGGGTTTATGAAAAGCCTTGAGCCCTACTGACCCAAAATCAACTAGGGTTTGTTCAGGGTTTAGGGGTGTCAGGGTTTCAGAAAACAAAAGAGAGAATCTAAAAAAACCTGACCAAACGATAGGGCTCAAAACGACTGAAACCAAAAGAGCAAACCAGAAAGTCCTAAGCCCCTGTTGTAAGGGATCATTTCTGGTGTGTAGTATGTGGTAAATTCCTCATAGTTTGAGGGTGCCAAGAGGGGTCACATAGTTTACGTAAGGGGCAGATAAGTGGGCTATAAGTACAGATCTATTTGGTTAGTAAGTACCCTAACCCCAAACCCCACACCCTAAACCCTACACCCTAAATCCTAAACCCTAAACCCTAAACCCTAAACCCTAAACCCTAAACCCTAAACCCTAAACCCTAAACCCTGAACCTCCAAGTATAGGTTATATGGGTTGGTGGTCTCTTTAAGTAACCCTAAACCCTAAACCCTAAACCCTAAACCCTAAACCCTAAACCCTAAACCCTAAACCCTAAGTAGGGCTTCTGGTTCTAGGGCATGCCTTCGGGGCTTTTGTTGGGGTATCTGGGGGCTATATTACGGTAACCCTAAACCCTAAACCCTAAACCCTAAACCCTAAACCCTAAACCCTAAACCCTAAACCCTAAACCCTAAACCCTAAACCCTAAACCCTAAACCCTAAACCCTAAACCCTAAACCAGATAAAGAGGCCACCGGCCTTCATAATCTATAGGGTCCAGGGCCATCGTGATGCGCAGGCGTGTCGGCTCCGGGATGCAAGACTTGGATGAGGGTTTAGGGTTTAGGGTTTAGGGTTTAGGGTTTAGGGTTTAGGGTTTAGGGTTTAGGGTTTAGGGTTTAGGGTTTAGGGTTTAGGGTTTAGGGTTTAGGGTTTAGCTTGACTCAAGACTTCTCCAGTCGGCCAGCATGTTGCACATCCGCATGCTCTCGGGTGAAGAGCTGACGACCGTGCCTGCGGAGGAGGTGAGCAGCGTAACTTTGTCATAGTTGGGTACCATTTTGCATGTTTAAGGGTACTTAAACCCTATAAGGAACAGAAAGTCAAATCTGTGATTTCACTTTTCTTAAGGGTACTTAAACCCTATAAGGAATAGAAACTTAGAGTTTTGATACTATCCCAGCCACTTAAACCCTATAAGGAATAGGAACTTTAGATTTTTGATATTATCCCAGCCATGAACTAGGTGAGGGGAGTGAAGAGGCGATTGCAGGAGCTCCATGGCCTCCCCCCGCGCTTCAGGCCCTGGCAGCCCAGTGAGTAACCCTAAACCCTAAACCCTAAACCCTAAACCCCAAACCCTAAACCCCAAACCCTAAACCCCAAACCCTAAACCCTAAACCCTAAACCCGAACAGGGTGCCCGTATTTTGATGCCGTTTTTCGCCAAGAGGCAGAGGCTGATCCTCCCGGGCTCCCATCGAACTCTGGAGGAGGCCGCGGAGCTCGACACTGCGCGAGACTTAGAGCTGGTTGTGCTTCTTGGCAGCCCAGTGGTACCCGTTTAGGGTTTAGGGTTTAGGGTTTAGGGTTTTAGGGTTTAGGGTTTAGGGTTTAGGGTTTAGGGTTTAGGGTTGTTCCAGCTTCCCTTAGCAACCAACCCCCAAAAAAGGGTACCCTTGTTATGATGGTTTCTGGGCGGCCCAGGCTTCCTTTCTCCAGCCCTTCTCCGACGCAAGTGGACGAGCTCATGGCTGCCGCGAGAAACGGTTCAGCGAAAGAGGCAGGTTTGGTAGCCCAGTGGTACCCTTTTTTGGCTCAAGGTTCCCTTATAAAGTAGCCAACCAAAAAAAGGGTGCCCTTATTAGAATATGGTTACTGAGCTACCAAGCAGGTGTTTGCAAGAGTAGTGCATCTGAGCTGATGCAAGCACTCGCTCTGTTAAGTCCTTTGCATCTTGGCCTTACAAGCTGCACCTGCGGTATTTTTTCAATGGCACAAGCATGACCAGTTTCCTCCTCATCATCACCACCATCCTCATCTTCATCACCATCCTCATCGTCTTCACCCATATCAGGGGGTATTTGTTTCGGGGCCATGAAATTGAGGACCTCCCATACAGATGACCCCCCCCCCCCCCCCCAAACACCCTAAACCCTAAACCCTAAACCCTAAACCCTAGTACCGTTTCGCAAGCCCTGGAGGTCGAACGTCTGCTGCATCTGCCCTTGGACCCAAATGTGGCCGTACCGTGGAGAATTAGTGTTAATCAAATTGGTTTTGGTTTTTGGGCGTTTTGGGTTTAGGATTATATAGGCTTCAGGCTTATGGCTTATGGTTAAAGATGAAGAATTAGACAAGGGATTAATCTTTCGGTGTAGGCGTTGTGCGATCTAGGGGCTAAGGGTTAGGGTTAAGCATGCCCCCGAAAAGGCTTGATGGTCTATGGGGTCCGTAGAGGGCTTACGATCTGAACTTAGCTACATGTAGTCCCCAAGGCGGCTGGTGAGACGGCGCTGTTACAGGCAGCTTATCGGGGCCACGTGGAAGTCCTGCATTTGCTGCTTACTGTTGGTTAGTAGGGCATGAGGGAAGGGCTTTATATACCCTTTAAGGGATTAGATAGGGTACCTCATTCCCCCATTCCCTACTAAGCAACAGTAAGGTTGGCGGAGGCCGGCGCCAACAAGGACTTCGCAGACAACGATGGAACCACAGCCCTCATGATGGCATCTCTGAACGGTCAAGTTGAAGCTGCGCGCTTTCTGGTGGAGGCCGGCGCCGATAAGAACATGACCGACGAGGCCCGGCACACAGCCCTGATGTTCGCAGCCATGGATGGCCGTGTTGAAATCGGACGCTTGCTGGTGGAGGCCGGTGCCGAGAAGGACTTCGCCGACGACGATGGCCTCTCCGCATTGATGATCGCAGCTACGCGTGGCCATGTGGATTTCCTCTCTTTGATGGTGGAGGCCGGTGCCAACAAAGATGGGGCCGACAAGGATGGCTTCACAGCCCTGATGATCGCGGCTGCCCGCGGCCATGTTGAAGTCGTGCGATTCCTGGTGGAGGCCGGTGCCGACAAGGAGATGGCCGACAACAATGGCTTCACAGCCTTGCTTGGGGCAACGATGCGTGGCCATGCTGAAGTCGTCCGTCTGCTGGTGGAGGCCGGCGCAGACAAGGAGGTGAGCAGCAGCAATGATGGCTTTACAGCCCTGATGATGGCAGCTATGTGTGGCCACGTTGACGTCTTGCGTTTGCTGGTCGAGGCCGGCGCTGACAAGGATGTGGCCGACAAGAACGGTTTCACGGCCCTGCTCGCGGCAACTCTGCATGGTCAAGTTGAAGTCGTGCGTGTGCTGGCGGAGGCTGGCGCCGACAAGGACGTCGCCGACAAGAATGGCCTCACGGCCCTGATGAGCGCAGCTGCGCGTGGCCATGTTGAAGCCGTGCGTTTGCTAGTGAAGACCGGTGCCGACAAGGAGGTGGCAGACAACAATGGCCTCACAGCCTTGATGATGGCAGCCGCCAGGGGGCACGCTAAAGTCGTGGGTTTGCTGATGGAGACAGGCACCCACAAGAACGTGGCCGCCCTCGAGATGGCAGCTCGAGCCGGCCATACTGATGTCGTGCGTTCGCTGGTGGAGGCCGGCACCGACAGAGACATGGCCGACAACGATGGCGACACAGCCCTGATGATAGCCGCTGCCAGTGGCCACGTTGAAGTCGCGTGTTTGCTCCTGGATGCCGGCGCCAACAAGCATTTTGCCGACAGCAATGGCCTCACAGCCCTGATGAGCGCCGCGGCGCGTGGCCACGTTGAAGTCGTCCGTCTGCTGGTGGAGGCCGGTGCCGACAAGGAGGCGGCCGACATTGATGGCATCACAGCCTTGATGATGGCAGCTGCTCGTGGCCATGTTGAAGTCGCGCGCTTGCTGCTGGAGGCCGACGCCGAGAAGGACTTTGCCGACAACAATGGCTGCACAGCCCTGACCACGGCAACTGCGCGTGGCCATGTTGAGGTCGTGCGGCTGCTGGTGGAGGCCGGTGCCGACAAGGAGGTGGGCAGCAGCCATGGTTTCACGGCTCTGATGATGGCAGCTATGTGTGGCCATGTGGAGGTCGTGCGTTTGCTGCTGGAGGCCGGTGCTGACAAGCACTTTGCCGGCAACGATGGCCTCACAGCCCTCCTGAGCGCCGCTGTACGCGGCCATGTTGAAGTCGTGCGATTGCTGGTCGAGGCCGGCGTCGACAAGGAGGCGACCGAAGACAATGGCTTCACAGCCCTGCTTGCTGCATCTCTGCATGGCCATGTTGAAGTCGTGCGCCTGCTGCTGGGGGCCGGCGCCGACAAGGACGCAGCCAGCAACAATGGCTTCACGGGTCTGATGATGGCGGCTATGTGCGGCCACGTTGACGTCTTGCGTTTGCTGCTGGAGGCCGGCGCTGACAGGGACGTGGCCAGCAAAGAAGGCCTGACGGCCCTGATGATCGCACATGGCGAGGGCCATGATGAGGCTGCGCGATTGCTGTCCGAGCCCGCCCTGAAGCGCAGAAGGCGCTGAGAGAAATGCGGAGGCTCATACCCATGGATGTTTTCGGGCAGTTAACTGCCAAAGTCTAGAATCCCTGAAGCCTTAAACCCTCAACCCTGCTAGAACCGAAACCCTCAACCCTAAAGCCCCCTAAACCCTAAACCCTAAACCCTAAACCCTAAACCCTAAACCCTAAACCCTAAACCCTAAACCCTAAACCCTAAACCCTAAACCCCCAACTCCCAGCTCCCTTAGGTGATCACCCACTTCTCCATTGACCAGCTGCCAGTGTTTAGCTGGACAGAGGACGCCTTGGGGTTTCCCAAGAGACTCGGGGGTTTTGTTTTTTGGGTTTTGGGTTTGGGGTTTAGGGTTTAGGGTTTAGGGTTTAGGGTTTAGGGTTTAGGGTTTGGGGTGTAGGGTTTGGGAATCCCAAGAGATCCCGATACCCTTAGTTAAGGTTCCAGGTGTTTGGGGGGTACTTCGTGAGATTCAGGGAATGTTCCAGTAGTTCGTACTGGCGTCTGCGGGGCCATGTTCGTGACCCGAAACCCTATGCATGAAGGAACATGCTGTCCGTCAGGTAGCCCTGAACCGCAAACCCGAAATGACGTGAACCCTAAACCCGAAACCTGAAACCCTGAGCCCTAAGCCCTGAAACCTAAACCCTAAACCCTGAACCCTAAACCCTAAACCCTAAGCCCTAAACCATCAGAAGATGCATCCCCCAAAAAAGCAGGAGAGCATCCAGCTGCAATCGAGCTGCTTTGGCGCCGGCCTCGTGCTTCGGGGTGCTGGGTGGGGGTTTAGGGTTTAGGGTTTCGGGTTTTTAAGGTTTAGGGTTGAAGGTTTAGGGTTTAGGGCATATAAGGGTTTAGAGGAGTCCGAGTTCAGGAAAGTCAGGGGAGGAGCACTTGGTTTTTCGGGGATTAGGGGGAGTTAGGATTGAGGGTGTGGGGTTTAGGCTTGTGGTGGAGCTCGGGCTTAGGGAGCCCTACTTTATTCTGTAGGGTAGCGGCCGATTGCCCCATGTCAGCCCCTGAGGCAACCTACAAGACAGCACAATGCCACGGGTTCTTGAGTACCGCCGGTTTTTGGAGTACTATACTTAATACCTCTTTGGTTCTTCCCTGAAGATCCTATAGATTAGGGGTTTTAACCTTCGAGCCCAAAACCCGAACCCCAAATCCCTAAACCTTCAAGCCCTAAACCCTAAAAACCCAGCCCCAAAACCCAACACCCTCACCCTAACCATTCAATAAATCCTGCGCCCTAAGCTTGGGCTGTTCCCGCTTCTACTAACATTCCTTAATAGGCATACGGATTATACGAGGGTGTACTAGAATTAATCCCTATTCAGGACTGTTAGTACAAGGGAACACATCCCAACCCTAAGTCCTAAACGTAACCCTAACCCTTATCCCTAAACCCTAAACCCTAAGCCCTAAACCCATAACCATCAACAAACCCTAAGCAGAAGCACGCACCCTGACACTTTGAGCCTCCTAAGCCAAACCCTAAGTCAAGGTTCAAGGTTTTGGGGGTTTAGGGTTTAAAGTTTAAAGGGTTTAGGGTTTAAAGGGTTTAGGGTTTAAAGGGTTTAGGGTTTAGGGTTTGGGGTTTGGGGTTTAGGGTTTAGGGTTTATATAGGGGGGGTTTAGGGTTTCGGGCATCAGCAGTGCAATACAAAAGGTGTACGTGAGGGACGCTTCGCTCCTTGCAGCTGTCCTAGACGAGGATGCCCAGTAGCCCTAAGCCCTAAACCCTAAACCCTAAACCCTAAACCCTAAACCCTTAACCCTTAAACCCTAAACCCTTATGGGATCCAAGAAGCAGCGGAAGACCTTAGTCAGGAGAGGACAACTGTGCCGAGACCGTGCAGACCTTCACCTACCCCTGGCCACAGCAGGCATCGACAGTGCAGGGTTTAGGGTTTAGGGTTTAGGGTTTAGGGTTTAGGGTTTAGGGTTTAGGGTTTAGGGTTTAGGGTTTAGGGTTTAGGGTTTAGGGTTTAGGGTTTAGAGTCTAGGCCTTAGGGTTTAGGGTTTAGGGTTAGGGTTTAGTCTTTAGTTTGCTCGACTACTTGTTTCCCTGAACCCTCAAGCCTGTTTGTAACCCGAAGGCCTGAAACCCTCCTGCTGAAGCCCTAAACCCTAAAGCCCTAAACTACATGCCCGAAGCGAAGCCAACAAGGGGACTCATATGGCGGGGTTTGCGATATTCGGGGTCCTTTTTGGGGTCCTGATTATAAGGGAATCCTACTATTTGGGGGTCTATTTTATGGGCCCCCTATTTGCGTCAACCCCCAACATATAGGTTACGTCGAGTTTATGTCGGACTCAAGTAATTTTATGGGGTTTCGGGTTTCTGGGATGTAGGATGTATAGGGTTTAGGATTTCGAGGGTTTAGGGTTTATAGGACTTAGGGTTTATAGAGTTTAGGGTTTAGAGGGTTTATAGGGTTTAGGGTTTAAAGGGTTTAGCGTTTATGGGGTCCTCTGTGCGGGGGCTTAGGTCTACGGGCTTTCGGTTTCACGGGCTGCTTTTCGGCGTCGACGGTATTTGTGGTCGACCTACCGGACTACTTAGGCTGCTGCAAAAGCCGTTCTCACAAAGAAGGCAAGTGGGTTTAGCCGTTGTATATGAGTAGCAGCAGCGATGGCACACGAAGCAATGGTGAAAGGCTTCATCGACATCTTTGACTTTGAGATGTTGCAGCAAGTTGCGCCAGACCACTTCGACTGGAATAAGAACTTCTCGGATGGATGTCCGCCACTTTTCCACGCGATTGATGACAAGCTGTGCAAACGAACTCCAGCTCAACACCAGACGCGGCTCAAGAGGATCAGCTGGATGCTACGCGCCGGGGCAGACCCCCTGCGCAAGGTCTCTTCAACTGTCGCCATGGATTTTATTACTTTGCAGGAAAAATTGGCCTTCCGAGTCGGATATGATGGTCACTCTGCATTCTCCTACTGTTTTGCCTTGCTTGAAAGCATGCAGAAAGACACCAGTGGAGCAGATTGGTCAACAGCGCGCGAGCGCACGGAAGAAACGTTGAAGACACTCTCGCAGGCTACGACTGCGAAGGCCCAGCTAGTTTCGGTGCGCCAGGGGGTCGTGAACTTCTGGGAGTCGGTCCGGGACATGGACTCCACGTACAACGTCATCTTCGAAGCAGCAGACGGTGAGGTAGCTGCCCACGATCTGATGCTCATGTCTGCCTCACCCGTGCTGAGGGCCATGCTGGAGTCCGCCACTTAGGAATTCTTGAGAATAATTCTAAGCTTTGGGGTACTGTAATTCCTAAGAAACAGCTGAAGTTTTGTTTTTGCTCGGGTTCCAAGTTCAGCATAGGCCATGAAGGAAGGTGCAAATCGCCGCATTCTGGTCCGAGACTCGTCGAGCAGCAGTGTGACTCTCTTCGTGGACATGCTGTCCCTAGATAGGACCTTGGGACGTCATCCCTTTTTTCCGTTGTTGGCTTTGAGAGCATCCTTTTTATAGGCATACTTTTCAATAGGGTGTTAAACCCTCAACCCTAAACCCCAAACCCGAAACCTTAAGGGCCAAGCCAGGTACACGGGCTCAACGTGCCTCGAGCTCGACTACAAGAGCATGCTCGGGGCCTTCGATTTGGCCCACCGTTGGCAAGTGCAGCACGTCGTAGACATTCTTGTTGATGCCTTGTGCGGGGCTGTCGGTGTCTAGGTAGGCGCTTGGGACATTTTATATTTCCCCTGATCGGGTTTAAGAGGATTACGGGGTTTAGGGTTTAGGGTTTAGGGTTTAGGGTTTAGGGTTTAATTAGGGTTTAGGGTTTAGGGTTTAGGGTTTAGGGTTTCGGGGGGGCCATCCTAGGCGTGGACAGCTTTGTGGAAATCACCGAAGCCGCGATCCTCAAGGACTCAGGGCCTTTGAAGGCGGCGTGCGCAGCCTTCGGGGCGAAGAACGCCGAGATCCAGGCCATGCTGAAGAAGAACCTTAGGGGAATATGGAAATAATTTTTAGTTTTTGGGCACTGTGAAATTCCTAAGAAACAGCTAAAATTAGAAAAAATTTGCGAGGGTTCCAAGTTCAGTATAGGAACAGCTTGCCTGCAGCTGTGAGAAAGCTCATGGGAGAGCCTGAGACAGAGAGGCCGGAGCCAGGAAAGCCCAAACGGCGAAGGCTCTAG